AAAAAAAACATAAATTATTTAACACTACCTGGCAATTTACCATACTAAAATACTTAGAAACAAACAAAAACACGGGGTTTGCAAGTAATGGAATTTTCAACAGGACCGTGCACCCACTTCAACAGCGATTTGCAGGAATATTCAAAAGGGGGTCGCAGTATATATGCAACAAACAATTTACTCACCCTTTACTTCAAAATCAGAAATTTTGATATTCGCATAGGTCTCCGCAAAAGTAATCACTGACCAAAGAATGTGAATGGCTTCCTTCATCAATACCTACCATTAAAATGCCACTCCTTACTGATGAAAAGAACAGATAAGAGTGGTTACAGATGACTGCGTCGCTATTTTACCGGAAATCCATATTTATTTTAGGAATCAATCGATATCGTTTGGTGGTCTAATGTTGTATGCCTGCCGCTGATCACAATGGTTGGGCTTACATGTAATTTACTTAATATCGCAATATTAACCAGCAATAAAGGTGCAAAGCGAATACCAAGCTGGTAAGCGTACAGAGTTTTATCGTTCTACCAAGGAATTACTACAATCACTTCTATTGCAGGACACTCTTGCTAGCTCTTGCCATATGTGATTGTTTATTCTTGGTGTTTGCTATGTTAGAAGTGACACCTTTAACAATCCCTGCTTTGGCATTTTCACCACTTTTCAATTTGATTTATTCACATATTTCACTATATATCAGGGTTTTGGCTTCAACCTTCTACAAGAGCAGTGTACTGTGAGTGATTTCCTCGAATTTGCAAAATTTACTCACTCACAATCGTTATATTATAGAATCGTTGTTGCCTTTAATGTTGAACGATACATCTGCGTCGTCCATCCCTTCAGTTGCCATCGAATTTGTACTGGGCGAACATCACGATTCGCTATTAGCGCATGGTAGGTTTTTGGGGCACAGTCAAACTTATGGAGGTTAGATCAACAATAGCCTGAAACTATTGCAATTCCTGATAAGAAAACATGCGGGTCTTTAGTACCATAAAGGTCTGCATCAAAACATCTATATTACGTAGTTTTTCATAGTAACAATAAATTAATTATTTAGTTTCCTTGTTCCAGCTTTGTCATCTCCTTTCTTTGCTCTCTTCAATGGCCAATTTGTTATGAAGTTCGATACTGTTATGATCATATTGCACAGGAATTTCTTTATGTGATCCTGTTATCAGAAAATGACACCTTAAAGGTGAGTTGACCGAATTTTCTGGAAAGTAAATAAGATCGATTGCATCTTCTTTTAAATTCATTTCGTGATAATACGCTTCACCTTTAACCTCAGCGTAGTAATGTGATCTGAGCAAACTTTACGTTTTTTGTGTGTCAAATGCATGTATACAGAAGTCTCGCGCAAACAGGTAGGGTTACAGTATGAACAATAGTGAAACTCTAACGAGGAATTGAGAAATCGGAGGGGGAGAATCTGCAACTTTCGAATGTCACAATGTACACACCCCTTTACAGTCCATTTTTTAGTTCTATTATCGATTGATGGACTATATATCGTTGATCGCTTTTAATATCTTGCCTGTCATCTCATTACTGGTAATGAACTGTATGATTATTGCTACTTTGCGAAGAGTTGTAGCCGAAGATGCTAAGAAGGAAGAGGAGTCGACGCGACTCGCGGACGGAACCCTTGTACCGGTGAGCCATGGTCGATTTATCAATTTTTTTGTGCGATCAATTGTAATCTTATGAAGGAGTCATCATCACATCGTTTGAATCCTAACGCTTTGCTATTCGCAGTGGTATTTATGCTACTTATCTGTGTTGGACCCCAGGTAAAAGACAGTATTTTACGATGTTGATCAATATATTGATTTATCGATGGCAGGCACCGGCACGGCTCCTTTTTGATGTGTTTGGACAATATCATCCAAAAGCTATTGTATACACTTGTGTTTCTCAACAGGTAAGCTAGATGTGTAGATAATTTCTCGTGTTTGTAGATCAATCAGAACCTATATATTTCAGCTCGTCTTCCTGAATGCAGCGCTGAATTTTGCGCTCTACTGTCTCGTTTCAAAGCGTTACCGTATCCTTATGCGACAAACGATTAAACGTCTTCTGCGGTCCTTCAAGGCTGTTGATCGCCCATTGAAGATGAGCGCACGTCAGAGCAAGAGTTCGACAGCGCCGGCGACGTCGATGGAAGAAAATCACAGTCGAAATTTGATGCTTGTACATGCTGTATAGCCGCACTTCCTTGTACATATAGGTCTCATCCTACCGTACTCTTTTTTAAAATCAGTTCGTTGCCGCTGTATCGTCTTCGTCTTCCTTCTAGTCCAATTATCGTTCCGCGTTATTTTACGCTTTATCCAATATACGGGTTCTTTTCTCGAATACAAGCCAATTCTGCATAATCAGCTATATATCTTTCGCAGTTTCTTGCTAACATTCCCGCATTTTCACTCGAGTACTTTCCATAGAAATCCAGATATGGATATATCAAATAGAACACATTGAATTTTATAGGCAGTGTTCATGAAATTGTGAAGATTTGAACAATAATTATTGCGTAATAATTTACAACTAGCGTAATAAAGATCGGAAATTTAGCGTCAATTTGCTGAAATTGTTCGGCATAAAAAAATGATTGCCCAACAACTAAGCGAAATTATTTGCAAGTTTGCAAAATTTCAACAAATTTATGAAATCACGCATCAAATAGAGTTGATTATGCACTAAGGTAATGTGACAACTCGTCCGTGTTCTTCGGGATTTGCTACAGGACCGGTTTGGGTAGAATAATTACGCACTACTAAATTGAATTTGGAATTTTTTATCATATCAACATCATATCATGTTAACATAGAGAAATGATGACAATTATCTGAGCACTAAGGGCGGAGCTTAGCCTTTTCCATAACATACCAGAATCCTTACACGAGTCCCGTATATTC